CATGGTGTCCCAGTGGAGAGAAATAGTGGAAAACATCCGTAATTTTCACTGCGGGATCCCGTGTAATTGAGTCATTTAAAATACAGATACAGAGCTGAATCAAAGCAAAGTGGCTCTTGGCGGGAGGAGGGGGCTGCAAAGTAAAATGGAAAAGAGGTAAAAACAAGGAGGTAAAAAGTGTGTTTCTCCTATTAGTGGGAGAAGCTGGTCTGTTTATCCTATTCATCTGTCAATCTTCTCTTTCAAGACACCGTGTTACCTGCCACAGATTTTCTTTTGTTTGTCCTCATATACTCTTTCAGTCAGCATTATGCTCCTGTTTTATGTTTTTTTATTCATTTGTGGCACTGACTTAGCTTTTTGTCTCTGACTAGGTTCGTTTAGTCTTTGTGATGGATCTCCTATAATTTGACTGTTATGTTGCACTTTTTTTATATATCTCATTTATTTTAGTCAACAATCAATGTTGAATTGACTTAGCAAATTCTTTATATATAGCTTCTTCAGTTTCTATCATTTCTGATCACACATTTCCAGATAAATAAACACGACTTATAAATTGAGGAGTTTTTGGATTTTACGTTGTTTTTCATAAATAGAGAAAATGCTGATTTGATTTAGTAGCTTCAATTTTGTGAAGACATTTTTTAATTCTCGTTTTAAAATTTTAAAACGAGAGATAAACCGGTGGCGTGAGCAAATTTTGTTTAGACTGCAACAGAACAGCAAACAAAGCAAGCAGCAGCACCTATGGAGAATAAGAAATGCAATAAAGAGTTAGCACCAAGTAAACAACAATACAAGTGAAGAAAAAAGACAAAGAGCAAAATAGTAGTGCTTGCTTAGTGAATGCACACAGCCTTCGTTTTAAAATGAACTTATGTGATCATGTAAATGAGTGTTAGAATGTAGAAAATATACATTTTACTAGCAGTGAAGTATTTCTGTGGGATTCTAGGATGAAAGTAACTTCAAGCACATAGTTTGCAAAGCAGGAAAACTTAACTGTCAAACTACTGTACAGAAAAAAAAATCACCAAGCATATATGGCATATTGTTTTCACTGAATTGTTGAGCACACCCAGGTGCAGACACACCTTACAGTTTATGTCGCATGTGTGTGTTGCAGGTGTAAAGAAGTGTCATTATTCAGTAGTACTGTGTGAGAAGCACTGAGCATCTTTATAATGGCCATAATAAATAAAACCAATGCTTTCTGTTATGACAGGTGAACCAGTACTGCAAATACTGCAAACAGACATATTGTTGAACACCAAAAAAGTAAGAGCAATTTTTTCCAGCAACTCTACACCTCATCCCAAACCATAAGCAACACACACATGCTTAAAAAACATAGTTTAAGTACACCTACATTGGCTTATACAGGAAAAAGATAATAATATTACATAGTAAGTAAATCATTAATCATTAATCATTAATATTTAATATGAAGGTTTAAGTCCTGGGACAACTGCTCAAGGTTTAAAGGCTAAGATAAGATCTGTGATTAGAAAACTAGTTCCCATACTTGCAGCTGCATGTTTCTACACGCTGTTTAAAGGTGAGCTCAACATTTTTCACAGGTCATTTAATATATGGAATATTTGTTAAAAAATAGTTATGTAAATTCTTTTGTGCCTCCATCTGAAGGCACATGAATCAGCATTGTTTGGATGTGCAGACTTTAGGTTTAAAAGAATTAAAAAATAATGAGCCCCATATGCTTCATACAGACAAAAACTTGCACCCATCTGGTAGGTGGTTAAGTTGCACTGTGAGTAATTCTGGCCCCTGATTTTAAAACTGCACAACCGGGGTGTCGAACATGCAGCCCCGGGGGACCATATTCAACACAATGCCTTTGCATGGTGAGAAAATTGCAATGAAGTCATTCACTACACTTTTCTTTTTTATCATAAGATGCAATGTTACTCTCTTTTTATTCTTATGCAATGCTCATATATGGACGATGCACTAGAGTGAAACAACAGAAAGAATGTGTTTAGGGTCATAGTGTTTGTTGCAAACTTCTTACAGAGAAGGAATAAATGAAAGAAACTAGTTATGCAACATACAAAAATTACAAAATTGCCAAAATTTGAGTGAATGCATGATATGGATAATACAAAAAACCCAACATATTTATTACGTTTGAAATTTAAGAACAGCTATTTTGGAAATTGGTTGTGGAAATAATTCACAAGCTGTGGCCCTCATTTTTTTTTCAGATATGAAAATCATTAACGCTTCAGAGCCAAGGTTTATTTACTGCTTCCTGCTGCATGAACAATGTCTTCCTGAATGAAAGCCATGCTGGGATACCTCTGAGACCTCTAGATGAAACTCTAAACCATGTCTTGCATCCAGCCTTTAGAAATTTATGCCCATAGCAGAACTATGGCAATTATAAAGCAATTACAGTCTCATATTGCCTGTTCTTTTGAGATTGGAGAGAAAAGAGGAGGAGGTAAAAGCTCGGTAGTCAAAAAGAGTAAGTGTGGCAATATTGATGCTCCTTTTTCCTAACTGCTCAGTTGTCCACCTCTGCATGTGTTCCACTTGCCTGACCGCAGAAAACATCAAATTTTGACTTCACTGAAATGAGCATGAAAAGGACAAAAAGAAAAAAGATCAGCTACTCAGCTTCAACTGATGATACTTTTTTTTTTTTAAAAAACAACCTTTTATTCTTGAGAGACCAAAAGCTTGGCTGAGTTTGTGCTCAAATGCACTTCGCTGGCGAGTGGCCCAACAGTTTTACCACAGTGAACCCTGGGAACAAGCATCTATTCTCTGCCAGACAATGACAGGGAGGAAGCTGTGTCTGTGTGTGACACTTGATCAGCCTGCTACGGTAACCACAGCTCCACACACATAAACACACACTTGGTCAGTTCCCGCTGCTTGATTGGCAGCACTCCAGAGACCCACACCTGCCTTAACTGCCTTTGCTTACTACTAGGCCATTTAACCAGATGGCGGGCTGATTTTATACAAATTGTATGTGTGTGCTTGAGTCCATTCTCATGAATGCATCGTCTGGCTGTATATGAAGAAAACCACCTGACTGTGTCTTTGATTTCCCAGCCACCTCCGGGTTTGAATACATTGGCAGCACAGCACATGGTTGCAATATGTTAGTCGCCCAGATCAGACTTCAGTCCTGCTAGATTGGAGGTCTTCATTTAGAGGTGCTGGTCTGGGAACAGCGCTCAGTTGCCATTTAATTTCTCTGCTTCTTTTCTGGGAGTGATAACATGCCCAGGGGCCGACGAGGAAAGGAAACTGATATATGTAGTTACGTCTGTAAGACACGGCATGCCAGTCTCCATGTCTCAAATTAGAGCAGCTGCATGAACTTGCTACATATAAGAGGAAAACATATTTAAGTGTTTAAGAAGCAGCATCTTAACAGACTTATGAGGATCAGTTGTGGGCAACAGAAACTTCCACACAAACGACCAGACAGATTAGACTTGAAGAAAACTTGAAGAATGAAGAAAATCCTCATCAAGACGACTCCAAAAAAACCTCCAGAAACTCTTAACTGCATCTGCTCTGCTGGACCACATATTAATATCAGTCCTCAGTGGTCAACTTGTCTGAGGTTTGGATACAATTTATGGAGAACGAACTGTTTTGCATAAACATTTTGGAAATTTGCAGCAATTTTACTCTTCTGTATTGCTGCTGGCATTTTCCAGATGTGCAATGATATAGATGTTTCCACATGTGCAGGTTTTCATTTTGTTGCATGAGATGGGATTTTTTTTCATCCTGTCAGACAGTGAAATGTGACTATAAATAGTAAAAAAAAAAAAGATTGAAACATATGTGGCTCGAGGAATCCGCAAACTGTATGTTAAGGCTTTGCATTTTCAGCTCAAACACGTAATGTGTGGACCATCATTAAATCCAAAAATAAAGTTCATTATGTATAATTATGTGTAATTAAAAGTTGATGTTTTACTTAGACTTGTTTTGTTTTCAAAAAGGTATTTTTTGCTTTTAAAGGTATGCTTTTATTTTGCCTTTCTTAGTCTATTGGCATAAGAATACCGTAAGCTGCCAACAATTGACATATATGTTTATCCATATATGTGTATATGTACATTCGTATATATGTTTATGTTTATCCTTTTAGTAAGTAAGAAAGTGTCCAAATTTTCCCTGACATGAAAAATGTCTCTCTTTCGCTGATTTGTATACGTATAATATGAATAGATTTGTGTTTGAAGCCGATAAGCAGTGAAAGACCAAAACTCTCAGTGTACCACAGACAAATAAAGACATAGATATAGAGAGCGATAGTGTCTCAATAAATACCATTAAATGCACAGATTATCATTTGTCATATCCTATTTTTAATTACATTTTTCTCATTAATTAATTAAATTACACTATTTTCCTTTGCTGTTCGTTTTTTCCTAATTTCATTTATTTATTTATTTTGGATTTTCACAGTTTTGGTCTTTGATATTAGCCAACCAAATTTACAATATCCGTTTTAAGTTTGTTTCCACCACTGAAAAATAAGCAGCCAAATCTCAAAATAAG